GTACAGCAAAAATTTGAAGCACGGTTTCTGGAAAACTTCTTTTTGTTTTTTTTTTTGTAACTTTGTGTTGTACACAGAAAATCTCTGAGTGGTACAGAGACAGAAGAGATTAAAAATTCATTCTGTTCTGGCCTAGCACTGTTAATGCTACACGTCTGATCCGGTCTTTTCCCGATCCTTAGTAAAAACGTTGGGCTTTTCTTTATTTATATTTTAATATAGCAGTTAGTGCAATTTCATAGTTCAATACACACACAAAAGGGTGATTCTCCAGAAAGCAATGGGATATACTTAGACCCCCGCTTAAGACAGAATGAATTTTGTAACATTTATGGAAACAACACACTGGATTAGTAAAGCTGAATCTTCAAACTGGTGAAATCAAGGGTTGTGAAGGGAATACGTGTTTTACCAGTGTCAGCCCCCAATGAAACCCATCCTTCCTCCCCATCCAGGTTGACAAAGCCATGTTCCCATTCCAGGCCATTGAGATCTGGGGGCACTTTAAGGATACTGTTTGCCGTGCTGTAAGCTAAGAAACTCTGCAAGATGAACAACCCCTTTTAAAGCTAACGTGACTTAAAACTCCAAGCAAAAAAGGCAGGGTAGGACACGAGGTTGCTAAGCATTAGGAGTGCCTTGTTTCTTCTGTATTTACTTAAAAATGAATCACTCCTAAGGGGCCTGAATCTCTCTGCTGGAAGCTGCAAGACACCTGTGGAGCAGGGCCACAGCCCAGCTCTAGCACCGCTCTCTGCTGAGCTGCACCAAGGCCAGAGGGAACGGGACAATCAGCAAGGGTGTGCAAAGCAAATTCCCTGCCTTGGTGGCAATATGGGACATGGGAATTGGGAAGAAATGGACCCCGAGGCATAAAGTAACATTAAATAGTAATAATAATAATAATAACAACAACAATAATAATAATAAAAAAGAACAGACCATTATTTCTAAACACCCACTCAAGAACTTGGAGTTGATCTGAGCCCAAGATCTGGTATCTGCACTTGAAATACGCAGTTCTTGGGACTGCAAAGAGAGGGATGGACAGAAGAAAGACAAAAGGTGACAACTTGGCTCCATCAAGGAGCTGCACCCACTGCCTGGGACCTGGGGCTCCCCTCACCAGGGCTGCACTGGCCTGGGGGAAGGTGGCAGCTTGGGGTTTGTGCATGGATGGGCTGAAAGGCATCATTTCCAACACAAGTTTGGTGTTGATGAGCCACCCCCGTTTCACACTCATTAAGTTCCCCAAACTAGAGAAAGAGGTAAATGAAACTGGACCCAGGAACTCAACAAACTGATCACTCAGCTGCAGAGCTCGGAGTGACACTTGAGAAGTAAAAGCTCACACTGGGAGTGGACTGGGGAGGGAGAAATAAAAAATGAGAATTGGTTGAAATTTTGAGGACTTCCAAGCATGAAAGCTGGGTTCAATTGCACTGCATCTTCAGACCCTCTTCCACTACCCCTCCGTGTCTGTCCAGCCCCTGCCCGCTTCCCTGACTTTTCCATGGGGTTTGGTGTCCAGGTGACGCCCTGTGACAAGACAATTCTGTTACCGAACAACCTCTGGTCTCCACGCCACCTCCTTACTCACTGCTCAGTTTTAAACGTGTGACGCATATTCCACCCAAAATCTGCTGAGGTAACCGTATTTTTTTTTTTGTAGCAAACAAACTAGTTCAGATCACTGAACAACCACCCCCAACCCCCCCCCCCCAAAAAAAAAACAAACAACAACCCCAAAACAAAAACAAAACACAAACACCCAACCCCAACAACACTATTCACGCGTTTTGGCTCAAGAGGGCAGTAGATATTATATTTCGGTTTCTCTTTTGGTTGGTATCTCATTTACAATATCCACCACAGATTCCTACCTCCCCGGGTAGGATAATGTGCATAAACGTGTTCAAGTTCCCTAAGAACAGTCGGAGCAGAGCAGCGGCCGAGGGAGCAGCCGGCATGGCCAGGCACAGGGAGCTGCTCCGGGAAAAAAGGGACTGGAAAAGTGAATGCAAGGTCCAGAGGAGCAAGAGACCAGACGCTGGTTACTTGAGACACTAAGGATGATTTTGCTTTCCCCTCTCTAAAAAGGGAGGGTTACTGTTTCTTTAATAAGGCACTAAATAGACATGTTACATAAAGGAAAGATACATTTTAAAAACTCGTACAAATTCGTCAGTTTTGTACCTTTCATGACAAACTAGATTTATTTCGTGTTACTTTTTTTTTTTTTTTTTTTTTTTTTTTTTTTTTTTTTTTTTTTTTTTTTTTTTTTTTTGGTGGCTTTTTTTCTTTTTAGGTCATCAAAATTTAGGTTACATGGACTGTAAAGCTATGAAGATTTCAAGAGCTGTGGAAAAGCAGTTTGAAATATTGAGAAGGTACAGGACTATTTCTAGGCAGAAATAATAAAAAAAAAAAGCAAAAAAACAATGATCAAACTTCAAGTTCAGCTATTCATCATCTTCTTTAAAATACATATAAATATTGTTCAAATGGTCAGAACTTCAAAACCGTTCTCATGGTTAGGTTTGTTTTCTTTTTCAAGTAATAGAAAAGTTGCTTAAAAACAATAGTTATTGCCTTTATATCTTTCATTTATGTCACTCTACTAGATAGCATCCTGCAGAAAAAAATCAAATCACACCCCCTTGTAAAACCTTCGCTCTCCGTGGTTCCCTACCGACCCTTCCTCGCACTCGGAGAGACGGGACCCACGGTGGGATTTTTCCTTTTTGCCTCCTCTCCCTCACTCTCTCAGGTTTCCCACTCGCTCGCTCCGTCACGTACGAATTCACCGCGAGGGCAACACACCTACCAGACACCTACGTGATATAAAATGTAAACAAGAGCATCGTAACACAAAAACGCTTCCGAAACCAAGATAAATTAATGACGCGCAACACCCGGCGGTGGGAGGGCAGGTGGGACCGTGGGGTGAGGGACATTTCAGAGGAGGGAAGGGAGGGGGTTGCTTCTAAAGCCTTAAACGTATTTCTGTAGCCTCTAATTAATACATCATCACAGGAGCAGATTCATTTCCATCTACTGTACCCAGTGCCTCTTTAGCTGGGATAACAATGGGATGATAATGTAAAAAAAAAAAAAAAAATAAATCAGGATGACCAGGGACGGCAGAGCTGCGAGACACGGCTGCGCCTGCTTGTCCCAAACGGAGGTTTGGGAGGCTGATACAAAACGAAAATGATGATGTTCACCACCACCACACTTTTCAGCTTGTCCTTTCAATGAGACATTTAAACCCAGCTGAAAGGCAGCCGGTGGGTGCGCTACCAGTGACTCACACCAACTTCCACAACCACCACTTGGGCTCCAACAGGGCCCTTCAGTTGAACATTGAAAGAAATAAACCAAAAAACACTTTGTTCCTTCAGACACAGAAGTTTATTCTCATCCCAACCACCCCCCCCTCCAAAAAGTTAGAGGTTGTCAAAAAAATAATAATAATAAAAAAAAAGAAAAAAAAAAAAAAAAGAAAAAGAAAAAAATCAAGTAATTTTTGCCTGCTTCAGTCATTCCTGACTCTGGGAAGCAGGGAGTTTTCATTTTACCTTGTTACTCCAATAATCCTACCAGATGACATACAGACACACACCAACTCCTCTTGCTTTGTAGGGAATGTATAAAGCCGTGGCTGTCGGCGGCCACGCGCAGGGACTCTGGAAATTAAGGATTTGCATAAGCTGCATCGCGCTCACCGCTCCTCCCAGGGCTGGCATCTCCACTCCAGCGATCCTCCTCCCCTTCCAGCTACTTTGTTCTTCACTTCGACATAGATCCCTTAACAGGTTCATGGTAGACATGATAGAGGCTTTGACCAACACAAGCACTGACATATTTATATTAAAAAATAGTGCAAAATTTCAACATTTATATAAATAACTCTAAACCCCTGCTTTTGATTTTTTTTTTTGTTTTTTGTTTTTTTACAATGTAATACACGCTTTTTGAGTTGGCACTCAAAAAATTGCCATTTTTCTTCTAGTTCAGAAAACAACTTTTTTTTTTTTTTGAATAGGCCTCTTCTAATACAAAAATACTCCTGCTCCTTACACATACACTTTCTCTTATTTTTAATATATATTTATATATTTATATTGCAGATCTTTAAACAAAATGGTTTTTGTGCAAATATTTTGTTTTTAAAGATAAGTGAAATATCAAACAAAAAAAAA